TCGTCCTTGCGATCATCCTTAGTCTTTGTTGCTTCCTGATGAAAGGAGCTTTTGTACAAAGGATCATCACTGAAGTTATATTGTGCTGACTTCTTCATGTACTCCGTCCACGGATCCGGTTGTTTGAATTGTTGCCTGTCCGTAGAGGCCGTTGCCTGTTCCGCTGCGGGCGCCCCTGTCCCTGAGAACATTGATGGGAATCCAGTGTTGCGCGTGGACGCTGTTGCATCCATAGCCGTCTTTATAGGGGATCCGCCTTCCTCACGGGGCTTACCGTCTAAGGTTGCTGGAACAGTGCCTTCCGTGCGTAGAGGTTCAAAAGATCGCGGTTGACCAATTGGGTGAGCGTCTTGTCGAGCAGAAGGTGTAAGTGGCTCAGGATATTGCGGCCCTGGCTTAACGGGGCTAGAGGATTGCGCCTTGCGCTCCGCTTCCTTGCGTTCCTCTTCCCTGTCTGTCAAGGACTGTACAACACGTCTGAGCTCGTCCATTTCACCCTTCAACATTGCATTGTCCTTGCGAAGCTCAACTATAGTTTGCTCTTGCGTTTCCCGATCAACCTTATATTGCTTATTTGTTGTCTCCATCTCATTGACAAGAGTTTTGATCTTTGCCTGTGCAATTGCTAACGAACTGTCCAGTTGTTCTCGCTTGAAGTCAAGCTCTATGGCGATCCGGGATTCTTCAGCAGACGAATGTCTTGCCTGATCCTTTGCCTCTAGAGCTGCCTTCAGCTTAGCCTCCTGTTGCTCAACATACTGGTGATGTTCAGTTCTCATTTTGTCAACAAAAGCATTGCCTTCTTCCGCCATGGCATTCTTTTCCTGTACAACTTTCTCATGAGCTGCTATCGTCTGAGCTAGCCGCTGCTGAAAATGTTCCCTTTGCTCCTCCAATGTACCTTGCAACCGTTTGATTGCAACATTGTCTTGCTGTTGGACCATTTGCTGAACACTTTGTTCCTGCTGTTGGGCCCTTTGTTGAACATTCAACATTGCCTGCTCTGCGGCAGCCTTTGTTGCCGCTATAGATTCGGAAGCTTCTCTTTCGTAAATACTCCTGAAGCGCAATGCCTCGATTTCAGCTTCCCTCCTGGCTTGTTCGCTGAGCAAAAACTCATGTTGTTGTAACTCCCGTCGTAGTTCTTCGTCGTTTGGCGTTGCATTCAGGTTGACGACGTTGAGCCGAGTCATTGCCAACAAGTTGTTTACTGTTGGCGCACCAGCTACGGTGGCTGACGGCATACCTGCTAGGGTAGCTTGTGTCGCCTCTTGAAGAGTAACACTACCACCACTATTTAGCATCTCTTGGTACACCTCCGAAGCAACCCTTGGATCCATTGCAGCCACTTGTGCAACCGCTTGTTCATGCCGTTGAACTGCATCCAAACTATTGGGCACACTCGGAACTATGTCAAAGCCACTTCCGTAGGAGTTTGGTGGGACGTCGTCATCCATCGGGTCCATAGCTCTAATCTAGCTAGCCTACGGCTGATAACCTGTATTTTACAGGATCAGCTCTAATAGTACAAACTACCTAGCTAACCCTGCTAGCCCGGTAAGCGCTACCTTTTGCTCTACCTTGAGAGTCAACGCTACGGGGTCCATGGGGATGAGGTGAATTTCAACAGGTTTTCTTTACGGGGGTGGATGGATTTGAATGGATGTGATGGGAAATCCTTGTTTGAATTCGATGCGGGTTTGTTAGGAGGCGATTTGAAGTATTGTAGATATATAATAGATGTGTTAACTTCGAATACCCTGGTAATGTGAAATGTATTGGAGCAAGTTTATCACTTGTCTGGTTCTGTGGTGGCATTGTCAGTGGAAGAGGTATGATCAGGATATCCATCCTTGCCTTCACAGGATATCCCCCACTGCGCAGCCAAGTGACGGCGAGTCACCCGAACGAAGGTGGTACAACGATCGAGAGCGCGGCGGCTGGAGTTGGCTGCGAGCAGAACAGAGAGCGTTGGCCCCTCTTGAAAAGGTAGACAATGGTAAACATGGCTGTGGGTGAAAACCAGAATACAGTATTACCTTAGTTGGCCTACCTGGGAGGTCAAGCTACATGGTGGACCAGGGATCCAAGTTTTATCCCACCGATAAGAAACCCACAAGACACTGGGGAGCACTGGTAGGCGGTCAAAAATCGACTAGACGACGTTGCTGACCATGATTTGCCCAGTGCAATGCTTCTTTGAGCGGCTGGCACAAATAAAAGCTTGACTCGGAATACGGAGGTCAGCGCCCCTTTTTGGCACGCTCCATTGCCAAAAAATTGCCTCCTGTCTTCAGGAAGCTTGCAAACCTCCAGGCCTTCAGGCTCCTTGGCTGGAGACCAATGCAAAACAGATGTAAACATACAACTGCGTGCAAAACATCTCGACCAAATGCTTCCGTGTGGACAACGTCTCGTCGTCTTCTTTAACAGCATGCATGTGACAAGCATTGTGGTCATCTCGCAACTGCGAGAGGACATGCATGGCCTCGTTCTTTTGCATAAGTTGGCTATGTTCAAAAACGTTATGTCACTACATCTGTGTACAAACAAGGGATGTCTGACGATGTCTGTCCTTAGAGCTTGCCGACCGTGAACATGCGCACCAGCCCCGCCTGGGATCAAGTCTTACTAATTGCAAAGCTACAATTGTATTCTGGACACTGAGGGCCAGGCAACGAAGAATCCCAAGAAGAAAATAGCAAAGACCCTCAGCTGACTTGCAACATCTTGCGACTGTGGGTATGCCCAAATATAGCGGACACCCCACTCCCAATACCAAAATAGAAAGTCCAAATCCTGTCTGTAAATCGTGGCTGCTAGCCAGCAAAACACTGGTGAGAACTGAGTCTTCAGCAAGCCAAACTGGTTCAACTCGGTCTCTGAGAATGCCTAGTTCAGAGATCAGAAGGCAGCACATGCATAATTAATTTGCTAAAGCAACCCTATCAAATCCCAATGAGAAACACTCTTCCTCAAAATACTAGTGACCTGGCGGTCCGGGTGCAGTGATGCTGATTGGTAGTCCAAGCAGGAGCTTATGGAAACTGTGGCCGACGTTCCTTGAGTCTTTGGCTCTTGTGTACTGACTGTACTGAGAGCCCCACCTGTGCCTGGCCTGGCACTGACGCCACAAGGCTGCCAGAGACAGCCAGCAAAGACCGCGCCTACAAGGATGCTCCAAAACAACTGACGTGCAAGGTGGACAAGCCAGGTCAGAGCCAGGTCGATTGGAAAAAAATGGTGTAAAAAGAGGATCATCGTCCATGGTAGTAGTAACAATAATAAGAATAATGAATATATATATATATTACATATATAATATACTTTGGAGTACTCCAGAACCTTTCCATCATGACTGCGGAAGTCAAACAGCTAGGTCACTGAGTCTCACACCGGTGCACCTCGCAAGGCGGCTCCCTTAGCGGGCTGAGATACTAGGGGTGGGCTCTGCTCTTGCATCCGAATGGCTCTTGGCCATGGATCAAATGACAAGTCACTAACTAGCAAACGATTGACGCGTGCTTATGCGAACCGACGAACGGAGTCGGCCTCAGTTGCAGTGCCAGGCAAAGCGACGAACGCTGAGCCTTACATCACGACGGGACTGTGCTGAAGACTTCATGAAGCGTTTTCACCGCTTGGAGGCTTGGATATTGAAATGTTTGTTGATCCTCCGGTTCCAACTAAGGTCACAGAGTCACGACCAAGCAACAACCAGTACCCAGTTTCTACTCCTTTACGGCACCTAGCAGGTTCATCGTGAAAAGTTGATGTTTTAAGACACTTGAGGCTCCGGCTCAAAAGCGACGCCACGATGCAAAGCAGGGCGATGGGCAGGGCGCGAGCCATGACCTTGGCCAGGGATCTCTTGGCAAACCTCGTCTCTTCCCTGCAAAACAAAGCATGAGCTCCCCAGGTAGAAGAAACCAGTTGCATTTCAAAACTACAAGTCTTCAAAGGAAAAAGGTTCTTTTGCAGCAAGGAACTACGTACAATGAATATGAACTGTAGTCACTGTAGTCCATGTTTCAGGTCCATGAAGAAACAAACAACAAAACCAGCTCGGTGACATTCGTTGGAAATCCTGCACCCGACCACTCACCATGCCCAACAATGGTGATGGCTTCTTCCACTGCATTTGAGTCAAGCACTGCATACGAGTGCGTGGCGCAGTCAGGTCTGATGGCGATCCATAACAACCCAACACCAGGAACAACATGGTCGGACCTCTATGTCGGCCCATACCTAGCAAGAGATTGGCGTCCGTCCACAGTTCCGCTCAGCCGCGAGGGGGAGGCTTTCGGGGCGGAAAGGCGGTCGGTGTCGTTCGTGCCTTTTTTGGGGCTGGTGAAGGCTGCGTGGGCGGCGACATCAGAGTTTCACAGCTGAACGCTCTCATCCATATTTCAAGTGGCTCTGTACAAACAAGATTCAAGGAGCAGCAAATCTATAGGTTTGGTCCAGGTCGGCTTGGTAGAAGTCAACCACATCACACTCTGTGATTCAAGTCACAAATGAGCGCTGAATGCTTTGAAAAGCTGGCAAAGCAGCAAAGATGAAAAGCAATTAAACTCATGTCTTGCAAGCAGAGCTGAGCACCCTTTTGGCATTCTCATTTGCCAAAAAAACTGCCTCCGGTCTTGAAGAGGGTCCTAAACCTCCGGCGTTCAGTCTCCTTGGCAAAAGATCGCAGATGAAAAACATAACATAAGCAAAGACAAAAATGGAAGCAACCACGTACAATACCCCTTGAACAAAATGTGTTGGTGCGCTTCAAGGACCTTTGTCTTCTGCAACAGCAACAGCTTGAGACCCTGAGTCTTGTCAAAAAGCACGATTATTTCACCATAGTTGGGCTACAAGGACAAGCATTGCGGTCATCTCGCAACTGCGAGAGGACATGCTTTGCCTCGTTCTTTTGCATAAGTTGGCTATGTTCAAAAACGTTATGTCACTACATCTGTGTACAAACAAGGGATGTCTGACGATGTCTGTCCTTAGAGCTTGCCGACCGTGAACATGCGCACCAGCCCCGCCTGGGATCAAGTCTTACTAATTGCAAAGCTACAATTGTATTCTGGACACTGAGGGCCAGGCAACGAAGAATCCCAAGAAGAAAATAGCAAAGACCCTCAGCACAAATTGACTTGCAACATCTTGCGACTGTGGGTATGCCCAAATATAGCGGACACCCCAGTCCCAATACCAAAATAGAAAGTCCAAATCCTGTCTGTAAATCGTGGCTGCTAGCCAGCAAAACACTGGTGAGAACTGAGTCTTCAGCAAGCCAAACTGGTTCAACTCGGTCTCTGAGAATGCCTAGTTCAGAGATCAGAAGGCAGCACATGTATAATTAATTTGCTAAAGCAACCCTATCAAATCCCAATGAGAAACACTCTTCCTCAAAATACTAGTGACCTGGCGGTCCGGGTGCAGTGATGCTGATTAGTAGTCCAAGCAGGAGCTTATGGAAACTGTGGCCGACGTTCCTTGAGTCTTTGGCTCTTGTGTACTGACTGTACTGAGAGCCCCACCTGTGCCTGGCCTGGCACTGACGCCACAAGGCTGCCAGAGACAGCCAGCAAAGACCGCGCCTACAAGGATGCTCCAAAACAACTGACGTGCAAGGCGGAGAAGCCAGGTCAGAGCCAGGTCGATTGGAAAAAGCCATCGTCCATGGTGATAGTTTGGAGTACTCCAGAACCTTTCCATCATGACTGCGGAAGTCAAACAGCTAGGTCACTGAGTCTCACACCGGTGCACCTCGCAAGGCGGCTCCCTTAGCGGGCTGAGATACTAGGGGTGGGCTCTGCTCTTGCATCCGAATGGCTCTTGGCCATGGATCAAATGACAGGTCACTAACTAGCAAACGATTGACGTGTGCTTATGCGAACCGACGAACGGAGTCGGCCTCAGTTGCAGTGCCAGGCAAAGCGACGAACGCTGAGCCTTACATCACGACGGGACTGTGCTGAAGACTTCATGAAGCGTTTTCACCGCTTGGAGGCTTGGATATTGAAATGTTTGTTGATCCTCCGGTTCCAACTAAGGTCACAGAGTCACGACCAAGCAACAACCAGTACCCAGTTTCTACTCCTTTACGGCACCTAGCAGGTTCATCGTGAAAAGTTGATGTTTTAAGACACTTGAGGCTCCGGCTCAAAAGCGACGCCACGATGCAAAGCAGGGCGATGGGCAGGGCGCGAGCCATGACCTTGGCCGGGGATCTCTTGGCAAACCTCGTCTCATCCCTGCAAAAGAGAGCAAACCATCAAGACCTGATACGGTCAGCCTATGTGACCTCTAGTCGCGGTCTGTGAACACCAACATGCAAACCCTTTGGCTCAAGTGTTGGGTGCTAGGCGTTTGGATTCTGCTATATTATAACTCCGACTCCTATTTCTCCCGATCTTTCCAAGGACCAAAAACAAACATCCAAGAGAAGGAAGCAACATCTTCTCTTGACTCTCGGAACCCCCTGAAAAGTTTGCTGGATCTTGCTGGCAATTGAGAGGGAGACCATCAAAAACGGAAAACTTGCTGGGGGTCTTATCAAACATTTGCAGTGTATTTGAGTCAAGCACTGCATACGAGTGCGTGGCGCAGTCAGGTCTGATGGCGATCCATAACAACCCAACACCAGGAACAACATGGTCGGACCTCTATGTCGGCCCATACCTAGCAAGAGATTGGCGTCCGTCCACAGTTCCGCTCAGCCGCGAGGGGGAGGCTTTCGGGGCTTGGCGGTCGGTGTCGTTCGTGCCTTTTTTGGGGCTGGTGAAGGCTGCGTGGGCGGCGAGGACATCAGAGTTTCACAGCTGAACGCTCTCATCCATATTTCAAGTGGCTCTGTACAAACAAGATTCAAGGAGCAGCAAATCTGTGTTTGGTCCAGGTCGTCTTGGTACAGGCTGATTGAAGACTCAACAGGCATACCCACATGCCAAAATGGCTCTTCTGACGTCTTGCTTGGGCTCTTGGTGCTATAGTTGCTACGTCTGCATTCTACATGGTCCAACAGAAGTTACCCTTCTAGAGTACGGTTCCAACCAAAGCATCATACCAAGACGAGCAAAGGTTGAGCCTTGCAGGTTTTTTTTGCTGGTTCAAAACACCTAAATCAGCTAATACATTTGTAGAGTGTAGAGTCACTCTTTGGGAATCCTTTTGTGATACAAAAGAATGTTGCATGAATCGTTCCACTGGCCTTTACAGCGATTCAAACTCCCACCGGTCACACATGTGATTCTTTGGCGTGGGTCACACATGTGACGTTTGAGCTCAACTCATCGAGACGACTTCCCTCCATCGAGACACGCTCGAACGCGAACGCGCTCCATTTTCGCATCCGGCGCTCCCACTGCTGCGCGAACTAAAAAACAAAACACCAAACCACGGCGACTCATCCAGGATCTTGAGTCCTCGAACCGAACAAAGGAAGATCAATGGAACAAAATGATATGTAAAGGGATAGTTCTGGCAGACATAATACCAAGATGTATACAATTTGTATAACTCTCCATCACGGCATAATTCCTTGATAATGTCTTTGCAAGGTCATTATACATCTTGCGAACGATGTCAAATCTAACTTTAGGGCAAAGATTGTGCTTCCATCTACTTGCATTCTTGATTTGAACCTCTTGATAACATTTGATAACTACTACATCCCACAAGTTTGCAACAAAACCCGCTTCTCTTTTGTCTTCTCTTCCCCATCGCTCTCGTTCACGCTCGTGCTCGCCCTCCTTGTTTCATCCATCTATCACCAAACTTTGCAGTATACAGTATTCCAAAGTGTTTTGAACGTCTGATTATGGATTTCAATTAAGTGCTGTTGCTCCCCTGAAGGCTGGTGAGTACATATTATACACAATATGGTGCCCAGTACGAGTACTGGCACTAACAAGAAGACCTGTGGCTGTGCACAGGGGAATTGTGCACTTGGGATACGAAAAAGTGTTTCAAGGCACCCTAAGGCCACACATCTTCAAAAAGGTATCTGTCTGTTCCATGTTTCATGCATCATCTGTATTAACCATCTGTCCTCATGCTTCTGCATACTCGTCAAGTCCATTGTCTGTCTCACGTATTCATCAAACAAAGATTCACCATATATATATATATGTATAATTGCAGTGGTTTGAGAGTAGATGGCACAATCCCCAAGTTAGGTGGTTTAGATTGACCCCTATATACTTGAGGAGATGGGGGTGGACGAAAGGTAGCATGTCTGCGGCTGCTGCTGCTGGTTGCTTAGTCGTTGCTGCTGCCACTGGTGCCACTGCTGCTGCTTTCTGCTTTGCTGTGCTGCAACCGCTGCTTTGCTGTTGCTGCTGCTGCTGCTGCCGCCGCCACTGCTGCCGCTGCCGCTGCCGCCGCCGCCGCCGCCGCCGCTGCTGCTGCTGGTTGCTGCTGCTGCTGGTTGCTGCTCCTGCTGGTTGCTGCTGCTGCTGCTCCTGCTGGTTGCTGCTCCTGCTGGTTGCTGCTGCTGTTTGGCTGTTGCTGTTGCTGCTGCTACTTCTTGCTGATTGCTGCTGTTGCTTGAATCCTGAAGGCTGCTGCTGCTTTGCTGTCCCCCCCTCTTTCAATTTCGTCTGCGCAACCCCCAAAAAACTGAACGAAAACCAAGGGTTGTGGAGGCCAAACTTGTGTGAGCTTTGGTGCTTTGCTGCTGCTGCTGCTGTTGCAGTCCTTGCTGCTGCCACTGGTGCCACTGCTGCTGCTTTCTGCTTTGCTGTGCTGCAACTGCTGCTTTGCTGTTGCTGCTGCTGCTGCTGCCGCCGCCACTGCTGCTGCTCGTTTGCTGCTGCTGGTGCTGGTGCTACCTTTTTGCTTTGCTGCTGCTGCTTTGCTGGTTTGCTGCTGCTGCTGCTGGCTGCTTGCTTCTGCTCAGATCACTACCAAATTCTCCGCGGCGCAGGGTGGAGTCGAATGGGGGGCATTTAAAACCAACTCTTAAACGACCGAAATCAAGCACCGGACCATACTGGACCACTTCACCACCCCCAATACATTATTGCTAAAGCAAAGACAACTCAGGTAGCGTATCCACTACCTTTCGTGAAAAGACATCTTTTGGTTTGTGCGATCTATTCTCAAACCACTGTAATGCTTGTGCTGGTATGCTCCATCTCAGGTGGTTTGCTAGGCTCTTCCAGCACCAACGCAGTGCCTAGCTGCCTAGCTTAGTCGCCTGTCTGTGCCAGACGTACATTCCTCTTTCTTGGGCGCACCATCCCTGTCCTTAGAGCTTGCCAACCGTGAACATGCGCACCAGCCCTGCCTTAGGTGGGCAGACTCTGACCGCGGACTTGTCTCAAAGGTAGCTTAAGATTCCAGGCAACGAAGAATCCCAAGAAGAAGATCGCAAAGACCCTCAGCTGACAGAAGGTCCAAACGAAACGCGTTTTTGGTCCGCAAATCATCCACTTTACACAGATTGGACATGAGACAGCCTTGTCATGCCACCACGCGTGTTCCGAGTCTCGCACAGGCCGAACTGGTTGAGTTCCGTCTCTGAGAAGGCCTAAAGTTCCAGGGGTGCATGCCTTGGGATTCCTGATGTTGAGAACAAATCGATTATCAATTGGAAACTGGTATATTCTGAAATACTCCAAATTCCATGTGGTGTCACTTTCTGAGAGTCCCACCTGTGCCTGGCCTGGCACAGATGCCACGAGGCTGCCAGAGACAGCCAGCAGAGATCGTGCCTATTCAAAAGGTGGTTCTCTCGAGAAGGCTTTGCACGATCGAGGATGTTCAAGAGGTGTCGAACAGACAGGATCGAGAAGGCTTTGCGCCCTGTCCATTGAGGATGTTCGAGAAGGCTTTGCGTCGAGGCCTTTCAGGAAACCTCCAAACTTGCCCAAGAGCTGTCAAACAACACCCACACTTCTGACTTGTGCTTAGTAGGGACTGAGGGTGGCTGGAACCAAAGGAATCTCTATGGGGATTCCATACGAGTCGCAACAGTCAGACTTGGAACCCAGACGTCTGACTTTGAAGCTGGGTTCCGCGCCGGTGCACCCCGCAAGGCTGCTCCCTTAGCCGACAAGGTGCTCCCTGTGGATGTCAGGTGAATGTCTGCCATGACAAAACGAGCAATTCAGGTTCGATTCATGTCCACATAGAAATTCAGGTCTCCAGGACTTCCATCAGGCCTCTGTTGCAGTGCCAGGCAGAGCCACGAAAGCAGAGCCTCAAGGCAGAGCATTGATCAAATCTGCCACTGCAATGACCGTGACAAAGGCTATCACAACCCAATGTTCGGCCAATACGGCAAGTGTCTATGGCCTCTATGGCCCGTCAACACTGCAACAGGTCACGGTGTCGGCAGCTTTCTCTCTTGGGAAAGCTTAACCCACAATAACTTGAGAATCACGTGGAAATGACATGAAAGCGCCTTCAAAGAAAACATCTACCTCAAGCTGAAGCTGGAAGCAGCTCTTCAGCTGAAGCTGGGCCCTAGGGCTCCAACTCAAAAGAGATGCAGCAATGCAAAGCACGGCGATGGACAGGGCGCGGGCCATTGCCTCAATGGGCAGCACGAAGTTGGATGAGTTTGTTCGGGGGTAAATCCAGCTAACTCCTAGACCAACAGCGTGGGGCGATTCCAAATGAGTGGTCCACCTGGAGTCGCATGGAGTCTTCCAAGATCCCCGTACCATTGAACTATTCTACCACTGGTCCCTTCAAATTCTCTTCCATTCCAACGGACCAGTGCAAATGTTGGAAAGTTGATGCACCAACCCGGGTTCCTCGGGCTAGCGCCACCACAGTGATAGCCTATAGCAGAACATCTGGGTCCCCCATGGAGATCTGATCTTTGCCATTCGTAATAAAGTGGATGAGGACACCTGAAGGTGAACGTATTAGAGTGGAGACCCAATGGGAGTACCAAAAAGATCCACTACCTACTGATTGGATGATATCTACTGGTTCAAGGGGCGCGCAGACTTTTTCAAGTCCAAGCGGGCCACAAGTCCATCGCTGCAAAAAAAGCGTCCTCTTAGCACAAAGTTTCCCATAGGCCAAATGGCATCTGCGATGCCTGAAACGCATAACAACATATGGAAATATGCAGCACCACACCTTTCTGCACCGTTGCAACATCAACCTCACATATAGTCACGTGACATGCTTGAAATCCGCCAACCCGGTCTTGGACCATGACGTCCTATACAACCCAACCTTTTGGGTGTTCTAAAAATGAAATAAAACTTTGACTGAAAAATACTTGTGCTACAATGGTGAAAGGCCTTGCAATGCTTTGGAGTACCATGTTTCACAAATGGAGTTCTTGGCGCCAAGGAAAAGAACCTACTACTACCACCACTACAACAACAACAACAACAACAACAACCCTTATGGCATCGCCGGTGTGCGAAGCACAATATGCATAGATACAGCAACTCCAAGAATAGCCAAATACCGTATACCCAGCCACGATGCCTCAGTGTTGGAGCTCTTGGTGAAAAACGTCATCTGACCCCAATTCTCCAAGTAATTTGTTCACCTCCAAGCCACCGAAGGTCGGTTGGTGGGTCGCTCGCTGGTCGGCGCAGCTGGGGGCGACGAACGCGGACGCTGAGAGTGTTGAGCCGCAACGGTTTGGTGTTCTGGTCACTCAAAGCGTATCCAAAGAGAGGCCCCAAACGTTTAAAGAAAAAGAGAAACGGCACGCTGCAGAGGCCAAAGAATGAGCAGGTAGCATCCTATAACATCGATTTGTACTGGTAATCATCACACCTGGTGACTGACATTGACTTGCTGCATGAACGCACAAAGAATTCTGTCCTTCCCCTAACCAAGCAGCTGCGTCGCTGGAAGTCTTCACTTGACGTGATTTTCCTTCGCACATGCCATAGGACACACCAACAGCATCGTGGCCACAGATCTGAGGTCGCCTGCCGGTCGCCTGCAAAAAAGTGAAATGCAGAGCTCATCGATGTGATGCCGATCAGCACCCCGTGCTCGGAAGCCAGAGAACCGCCGAACCGGACATCGCTGCCGGTCGCTGCTTGGCGCTGCCAGGGTAGCTGCCATCTGTACCAGTGAGCAACTGGATTCACCAAGCTGTGTTTTGAGCCGTCATGAGGTCATGAGCTCAGTGTATGGCCGTTCCGAGCCAAGTGAGGCCGGGGCCCGAGCTCGGGGTTGGATCACTCTCCACGCTTCACGCTTCAAGCACTTGCGCCGGACTCTTTGCTTTACAAACGCATGCACGTGCACAGCTCATACACTCTTGAACACTCATGGTTCTACGGGGCGTGTCTGCAAAGCTCTATATGTACCTACTTGGCCACTGGAAATGCATGGCATGGGTAGCCCTGCACGCACAACCAACGCGAGCAGCTCCATAGTTCAGTGTCACATGTCTACACCTTTTGTTCTTTTTCCTCTCAGGACGTGCATTGCTTGTCCAGGCCCAGGAAAAAGCAGATTGGACGCTTTTTCCAGGCCCGGGTAGAAGCAAATTTGCCAAGCTGCATCCTCTTCAGTTTCCTCTCTCGCATGGAGTCTTTGCCACCATTGGTCAAAATGCAAAGGTTTAGCTCCAGCAGTGTTACACGACCAGGGCGAAAGAATACAGTCAAGCTTCTTCCTCTTCAGCTTTCTCTCGCCTACGGATTCCCCGCAACCCCTCTTGAAGTCAATCCTTCTTTGGCACACCGCGCCTAATCCTCTTCAGTTTCCTCGCTCAAACGGTTTCCCTGCCACCAGTGTTGGCAGCTCTTTCCGGAGTCCGACGGAGCTCCTCGGGCTGCATGGAAGCAAGCATTGTGAAGCAGCATCACTGCCCAGCTGTATGTATTGGAGTTAAGCCATGATCACCTCTTGGCCCCCTGTGTCATCTCTTGGCCCTGTAAGCAGCCAGTGCTTTGAAAAACCATGTTTTTTGAGATCCAGTTACCAAAATGTAAAGCAGTGTATCAATCCGTCATCTTCCTGCATCTCTGACCTTGAGGTCGCCAGCTTCCGCTTCCACTTCATGGCAATCACCGAGTAGTTGTTGGTCTAGTGGTGGATCAGGTGGGCAAAGCGCCAGTTTCTGGTCCTCCGGTCTTGGTGGATCCTAAACTTCCAAGTAATTACATCTCTTGGAGACCCCGTGCCGCTCGTTTCAACAAACACGATCTTCACAATGTTTCCAGTATGACCACCCATTCATGGCGGCGGCTGCCAGGATCAAAGATTGAATTCCAGTGCCTAGCAAAATGCAGACTTGCCTAGCAACAAGCACGATCTTGGCAAATGGCAATGTTTGGTACAGTACTTGGGTCCAACATATCCAACACCGTTCTTGGCCTCTTGGACGGTTCTTCCAAGTCGTTCTTTATCACTACGCGAAAGCCGAAGCCCCGTCCGCAAGGGGCTCCAGCGCGGACGGGCACCGCTCCGTCTTCGCCCGAAAGGACGGGATCATGGGATCATCGGTGGCTCACGTCGCGAAGCGGCCTGCCGGGACACAGGACGTGGAGGATGCGGTACTTTGGATGTGGTGGAGATTGGGTTCATCCTGGATCATGAGAGATCAACTCATCACTGCTAGCAATGAGAAATCTCGTGCGCCCCTGGACGGACCAGGACCAGGGTCCTTCAAAGGACCTGCTGGCGCAGGACCGGGAGTTCGTCTTGCGTCGTCTTGCGCCGCCGTCGTTGGGTCAGCCGAGTTTCAGCTGTTGGTGATTTGAATTCGGAAGGATTCTCGGTATCCAAGATGGGAAGTGTTGTGCTCTCATTCGCACCTTAAAAAGAGAACTGTTGGTCCAAGACCATGACCTCTCCACAGTATTTCTCAAGCCCTTCAAGTAAATGAAAAGAGTTGGGTGTCCAAATAATCCTCTTCCTCCTCGTGGAGATGTTGTTCTTCTTCTGACCAAAGCCATGTCATCTCCACAAATCGATTGCAATATCAGGCTCACGCCTCAAGGACAGGCAGGTCATAGAATCCGAGAAGGTGGTACAGCTGCCCAGGCCAAGTGGTACTCCCTGGCTTCGGGTGTGAAAAGCAAGACAGCGAGTCCGGGTGGTGCCCAAGAAAGGAAAGGCACCACATCTGTGCAATGCGTGTTCATTCTGGGCTCACGAACGAGGTTCACATGGGGAACAAAACGCTGGACCCTCAAGGGCAAAACATGGGTTTTTATATCCTTCTCTCTAAGCCAGCCAAAGATCTCGTTTCAAGGCAGGAGCATGCAGGAGCCACTGATCTCTGTCCTCATGTTAATCCGGACAATCAGACGAAAGCACCAGATCTCTCCCAAGCATCCAACCCTCCTCCAGGCCAAGCCTCCATGTCCCCTCCTGCTTGATGATCCTTCTCTGGGCAGCAGATGTCCGACTGGATGGAAGGACACTCCAAGCCTCATACGACCAGCGGGGACGCGGGACTGGTGGATGAGAAAATCATTACCGATCTGTGTGTCCGCATCCTCCGCATGGCAGAATGGATGGCTCATAGGCTGTGCACCGGAGTCATCCGAGTCCATTTTCCCCGCTTGACCCCACCTCAGCAGCACTGAATCCGGTCCGGCGGAATGCTCCTGCACATATCTCGTTTCTTCGACCACCCGGAGAAAAGAACACCAGGAGAAGTCGAACATGGCCAAAGCACACCTATAGATCGTGTAAATGAATACACGCGTTCCCGTTCTTTAAACTGGTCTTTTCGAAAAATAGATGCACGCAGTGTGACGGCATTGGATTTTCCTCTCCCGAGAGTCTCTCTGAGAGTTGTTTGGGGTGGTTGCGACGCTTTTGGGTCAGCTGTTTTCGAGGTTCCGTGGTGTTGGTCGCCCGTTTCATCTGGAGCTGGGAATCTGCAGATGTGGAGCCTCTGTGTGCTGAATGACACTGGGCAGGTCTCTCCCTACGAAGACTAGACCACCATGGCATACCATGGCTATTCAGGGTGTTGCATGTAAGTAAAGAATTCAGGATTCTTCCATCAAGGCATTGAAAGCCACCCTTTCTGAGAAAACGGTTGGCACGAGGCAATCTCAGCATCTGATCTTCAAAAACTGCCAATCTCAGCAGGCGTGTGACTGCTGCACTGGACGAGTCAAGGAAAACAAAGGAGCCCTCCCACAGCGAAGAGATCTGCAGAATCTCATGTCCCAGCGTCCAATACCACCTGCTATAGAAGAAAACCAGCTTCAACCTGTGTGCTCCATGTTCACTAGCGAAACTAGGTTCATGCTTTTCTAAAGCCACTACGTTCAATACAAATTGCTTCACTTGCTAACCACGGAATGCCTCAGTCCTCAGCTGTATAAAGAGCGGCAAGCGCGGGTCTTGGTGCCGCTCGGGGCAAGCAAGCTCTTCCCCAAAAACCACGTGCCACCAGGGCCTCGGCTGAGCTACCAAGAGCGCTGAGTTTTTGGACCCTAAAGCTATAGCTATTAGATGCTATAGCTTGAGGTGATATGAGGTAATGATCATCCTCTTGTAATACCCAGAGCAAAGGCGGGCAATCTGCACAAGTCGACTGCAATCCTCTTAGTTCATGTCTGGTGCTGGATCTTCTTCACAAGCCGTCCGACACACCAACCCGCAGTCCCCGGAATGGGCTCCAAAAACGGTCCCCAACCGTCCTGGGCCACCTGGCATCCACAGCTGTGCCGGAGCGCGACAGGTCAAGTCCTATGGCTGAGTGAAGATGAATGGTCCGCTCTTCAGAAACTTCACTGGTGTACTGGTGCCGCCAAGCCCTAGAAGAGGGTGCCCTTTTCGGGGCCAGGATCAAAGGAGGTCAAAGGAGATCAGAACAAGGATGTCCCTGCATATTGAAGCTTTATAATAGACAGGGCTCGTGGAGCACCAGCAACATGAGCATCCTACCATTGCCACATCATGTTCAGTTCTTACTTCTTACGACAGGTCATGCCTTATCAGCTAGAAGATACTGTAGACAAATGATGTGGTCCAGAGTCGCGTCCAGAGATGCAAAGAGTCTGGAATGATCCAGGAGCTTAGTTGCTGATCCAGAGCTTAGTTGCTGAGAGCTGGCTTTGTTCTTTCTCTTTACTAGCTACCATGCCAAGTGCCACTGGTTTGTGAAGGATGAGAAGGATCTAGAGGGACCGATCGCCTTCGAATCATCACCTAAGCTCCTAATATTGCTGGCAAAATAGTTGAACCAAACAGGCATATGCATTCCGTCAAATCGTTCAATCCCTTTCTACAATGAGAAAGACTCAGTTCATTGCAAATTTTAAAGAGTCGAATTGCACGAGTGAAAACCGCACCTTGGATTCGAACGCAAACACACAGGAGGCTTAGGCAAACGGCCGATCTTGATTAAGTGATCTTACTCCTTCAGTGCTACAAACACGCACCAGAACAAACCTCTCCTCCTACTGTGCATCGTCCACTTCAGATCAAGAGTTTGCCAAATCATTACCGTCGTGTTCGCTTTTGCAGTAGTCGTTTCCAAAAGAGAAGATCGTTTCAACAGAGTGGCCAGTAGAGCCAAATTACGGGATCACTTCATGGTGCTTCACTTTAAGGGATCCACGATTCCTTATGGCTTTCTACACACTCTGTATAGAGATACAGGTGAGGGTTCCAACTTTGATTAAATGATGCAAATTCATGCAAATTTGGATTATTCATTTGACTCTCTAGCATGTCATGTTTAAAGGAGAATGTCTTTCCAAGGGACCTTGCCGTCCACTTCCATGCTAGTGAGTTGAAGTCATACAAACCAAAGGACACAAGCAAATATGGAAATCATCCTTGAACAAATGGGTGTTCTGTAGTTTTGGGCACCTATATTAATACATATTAATACAAGTTGTTCATCGCATATGCTTCTTCAGACTAAGCGAAATCCACTGAAAAGAGGATAAGGGAGTCTATAATCTAACACATGATTCATGTACTATATTCATGTGATCAAATGTTCCCTCCCGAACCATCCACCTAAAAGCAAAGTTTAAAAAAATAACTGTTTGATTCCGGAAGAATTGGCACAGTAGTCACGCTTAAAGAATGATCCTCCCTTTGTCTTGTGCCGCGAAAGCCTCAAGCTGTCGCCACGACACGAGCTGCACTGCATGCTGCCGGGCATGCTTTGGCTCGTTTCTTGGAAGCCTTTCCACCAATATCAACCAATGTCCTTGCACAAAGGACTCATTCCACAAATATCGCAAATACTCAGACACATTCAGAAACAAAGCATGGCAGCACGGCGCTGCACCCCAAGTGCAGCACCATGCAGCCATGCTTTGGTTGTTTGTGCCCTAACCCTCCCAGCATGTTCAGTCTGCACATCATACCAGAGCAACGCAAGAACGCATCACCCTGCGTTGTGATACAGCGCGATCAAGCCATGCCCTACGTTGTGCTTCAACTGCCATATTCTCCACAATTGCTCCAGAATGGTCTCTCAAGAGTGCATGGCCGCATTTCGCTGCTTTGCCAAATACAGTTGTGTCCAGCCAGACTGCGTGCAGCCTCAAGATCGCAGTCACTGCGTCAACGTCGCAGCATGTGCATTCCCCAGATCACTGGGAATCCAAAACAAGGATGGTACGACGACATTGCACTGCACGGCCAAATACTGCGACATCTTATATAGTCATGCTTTGCTTTGCACCTATCGCAGTCCCATTATGTGCATTCGAAGGCATCCACCATGGCGCGCAAAAGCAGCAATGATTTTGCTTCGTGATTTATACTTATGAGGGTGGCATCTACACCAACTAACCTTGCAAAAAAGCATTGTGAAAGGAGGGAACAAACGGGATACGGCCTCCAACCTACTAGCGACGACCTCCAACCTGCATGGGATGTGAAGCGTCGTCGCAGGTTTGAATTGACCCCTCTCGGTGCGTCTCGTTTTTCGGCTTCGATATGCTTGGAGTCCGAAACCAAAGCATGCCTTCTCTCAAAACATAGGTCAAACTGGATATGACTCAAGAAGAGAAAGCCCAAAAAACGTCATTGGCAAACAAGAAAAAGAAACAAACCCATTCGTGCTATTCCCGTCGGTCTTCTACTAGTCTTTGTCTTCGCGTTTGGTTCAGCTTCGTTGTTTCGCAATACTTGGATAGGCTCGGGAAGAGGTCCCGCCTGCCAGGTCACAAAGTGTCCATGGGGGAAGAGGTCGAAGTAGGAGGACTCAGAAGCAAAGTAGGCGAAGGCATTCGCATACCTCGGGCCGTGAAAGAAAGACGCATGATCCTGGTGTCCAAGACATCTGTCTGGGAGGGGATGGTTTCCAAGTGGCTGGGAGCCTTTCGAAGCTTTAAAAACACCCGCAACACCCAGGGGATCGACGCGCTAGGTCGCCGCACCATTCCTTGGGCCTCAGCAAAGCTCGATTCCGTGGTACGAGAAACTGCACACAGCAGTATCCTTTGACTGCCTGGCAGTGAGGGCGCACATGGGCGGAGCATGGGCGGAGCGTCTTGATTGAGTGGAAGTTCCTCAAGCAAACCAAATGGCTGTTCTTTTAGGGGTCATGTGGCGGATGCATTGTTGGCATTGGCCAAGGGCCCGCAGTAAGTATGGCTGCAAAAAGGAAACGTTCAAACAAACAAAAACAATAACTAATCTTCCTCGGCCGTGGCTCCTTCTTCACTCCCGCTTCATCTTGCGAATCAATGATTGTAGGAGCCCCTACCACATGAACAACGTCCGCTTCGGTCTCTATCCACCCGTCCGCGGGGGAAGCCCCGCGCGACCTCGCGGGGCGGCGCCAGCGAGCTGCTGAAGAGGCGTCGCCAGAGCTTGGGCGAGGCGAAGTTGTCCCAGGTGTGCACGGAGGTGCCCAAATCCAAGTAGTTGTGGCCTGCCAAAGCGCAGCATACCTCCTGTTCGTGGTTTTTGGGGGCGGATGGGGGCGCGCAAGTCAAAGTATGGTATGATGACATGTTTTTTGATGTTTTTTGGTAGTAGTTCTAAGGGTCCAAAGATGGGTGTGGCTTTTGAGGTAGGGCAAGCAGCAGGGCAAGATGGTTGGGACTACAAACGATTTGGTGAGGGTTGGGGACAAAATCGTTCCTGTTCTTCCCATCCCAACCTGGGAGACTTCCATATGATATGTATAGCAATAGACTATAGACATAAACTACATTAAACTACCAAATTGCTGGATCTGGCAGTTGGAAATGACGTGTTGTGGTGCACTGCACACCCCTCATATTCTTGGAAAAGGTCCAGTGGCCAACATGTTTGGTAGCTGTGAGACATTGTAAGGGTGGAGCATAGATCAGGTGCCAACTTGCAGTCTGCAAGTTGGAAGGTGCCTGCATCTTTTCCAGGTCTGACAGATTTCGACCGGGAATGGGCACCATCTAAGGTTCAAGTTCCCATATCGTCAAAAAGAAGTTGGGGTGAAATGGGCGAAACGGGGTGAGTCTCATGACCTTGAGACATAGTTGCCTTAAACACTCGGCACTACTGCCATCCCGTTCGCAAAAGAACTGAGGTACCATCTACAAATGGTCAAGGTCCAAGCCAAATGAAAGGAACTCGCCCTCCATGCGGTCACTCGTGTCACACCCCGACTCCTGTCACACGAGTAGAAGTCATGTCACACGAGCGAATCATGTGCCCGTCGTCTCTGAGCATCCTCACTGAGATACAGGAATGGAAAGTTCGCCTCGGTACGTTTCGACCACCGTTTTTCGGCGAAGGCAGGGAACACCGACCGAAGGCCCACGGAGACCGACCGGTCTGCGCCGCGGATGGAAACACGGTCGGTGCGAACGGGACTGAAACGGTCGGTGCGGAACCTTCAGCACGTGGAAACGAACGAACGAGGGGCCCCACAGTCAAAGTGGCATCCTTTTTTTCATGGCATCTACTGATCTACTGGGCTGCACAGTGATTTTTACACGTCGCTTCTCTCGGAGTGTCCCCATCTATAGACTATAGAGAAAACAAATCGTGTATTGTGTATTTTACATATTAATACAAACATATTATCTGTGTGTGTAACCCTTGGAGTCATAGGGATGCTTTTGCATTCATTTTTGTTTTATCGCAGGGGATCTACTTTGGCGATGCCAGGGATTTCCATGGTCGGCATCCAACGAAGACACCATGGATTTCCTGTGATATGAGTCAGGGACGCCTGACTCACGTACCTGCTTTTTCCTTGTACTGAATGGCATGAGGCTAAGCCCAGGACCTCAATAGCTGCAGACATGCACGGAACGCCGTCAACCTGTCGCCTCGTCGGTTCGTGGCCTTTAACTACAGGAACTCTGGTCCCCTTCACCTGGTTTTTCAGGATTTGGGTCTCTTAGGCCAGCGTGTGGCACCGCAATCAAGTCAGTACGCATATCCATGAGTGTGTTTGGCTTCGTGCCAACCCGGGATGAGCCCGCAGAGTGCCTCCCGTGGACCCGTCGAACGGGTGTACGTCGAACGTATCCACTGCCCGGATACAGAGCAGCTCGCAGCGAGCGTAGGTGGCCTAGGCCGTACGTACGATGATTTTGTCCCATCTTTGGAATTCCAAGTTGGCTCATGCCTTTACGTGACCGCAGCGGTCAAAGCAGCCAGCCGCTTCGGCAGGGCACAAGGTGACCACAGCGGTCAAAGCAAGTTTAAGGTCCATTGGGACCTGTGGAGAACTTAGCCCCCTTCTCCCCTGCCCTCCCCCTTTCTTTCCTTGCTTTATGGGGTTTTCCTGAATGTAATACTCAGGATCTCCCCTTTCCTTCTTTGGTGTGTCCCTGGACGATTCTTCGTAGCTGGGAACACCTTCCTTTCTCTCCTCTCCCTTTCTCTCCCTCTCTCTTTCTTTCTTTCTCTTTTCCCTCTCCACCTTCCTTCCTCCTTGGGTGTCCCTGGATGCTTTTGTCATAGCTGGGAACCCTTCTCCGCTCTTCTTTTGGTGTGTCCTTGGACGCTCGCGTCGTAGCTGGGAACACCTTCCTTCCTTCTCTTTCCATTTTCTCGTCTCTCCCCACCCTTCCCTCCTGTCTGGACCTTAGCTTGGGTTGCTACTAGGGGCTCTTGGCCTTCCTACTAGGTCGCTACTTGACGCTACTTGAGGTTCCTGGCCTTGCTACTACTTTGTACCCTTTGGCGCGGAGCTTAGAATCTTGCCTCCCTTCGGGGAGGCGTGTGTGTGTGTAACCCTTGGAGTCATAGGGATGCTTTTGCATTCTTTTTTGTTTTATCGCAGGGGATCTACTTTAGCGATGCCGGGGATTTCCATGGTCGGCATCCAACGAAGACACCATGGATTTCCTGTGATATGAGTCAGGGACGCCTGACTCACGTACCTGCTTTTTCCTTGTACTGAATGGCATGAGGCTAAGCCCAGGACCTCAATAGCTGCAGACATGCACGGAACGCCGTCAACCTGTCGCCTCGTCGGTTCGTGGCCTTTAACTACAGGAACTCTGGTCCCCTTCACCTGGTTTTTCAGGATTTGGGTCTCTTAGGCCGGCGTGTGGCACCGCAATCAAGTCAGTACGCATATCCATGAGTGTGTGTTTTTGGATGTGGATGAGTAAACTATAGTAAGTAGGTGTAAGTAGTAAGTGGTTGTTGTATGATCTTTGCTCTTGACCGCATACTTCAGGGCTGATATTGCACATCGAAATCAATCCCTCGACATCCTCGACTTGTTATGTGTCGCTGAATGCATGCCACAGAACTACTGTAGCTTTAAGAGTTGTTTCCACTTGACCTCAAGGCAAGGCTGTTCCTCAGACATCTCAAACATAGTACGTAGCTGGCCAAGCAATCCATGCAACTGAAGACTTGAAATTCAACATGCGACCTTCAAGTTTGGATGAAGCCGCAGTGCGGCTTGGCATTGGCTTGGATCTGTGCTCATCTACCCATATTTTGGGAGGATTCTCTACAGACCACATTTGGAGGCAATCCCAAACAGGCCACATGGAGCCATGGAGCTTCCACCATGCTCCACCATTCCACCGTTGATTCGTGCTCGACCGAGCTGCATCCAGCGCTCCCTGGCGAGCTGCTGAGAGGACCTCAGCTCCCGTCGGCCGATGGAAGCTGGACATAGCTGGACTCAGTGACTCGACCTCATTCATCATTCGTCTCTGGTTTTCGAAGATCGGCGCATCGTGGTCGGCCAAACACCACGCCCCGTGTCTTCGGTCCCGGGAGGATTTGTTCGGTGCCAAATGGTCGGCGCACCTCTTCCAGGAGGCGAAATGGATGGACATGCTCCGGCGCATCCGCGTGTAAGAAGAAGGTCCAATCCTCAAGGCGCAAAGCGTGCTTGGTGTCCTGTCACGTCCGTTCCAAGCAACTTGTGAGAAGTACTGATGATATGTACGGAAGGGATTCTTAATGGATGGAAAACACCCAGTCAGGGGTGTCCATAAACCACCCTTTCCCGTGGTGCTGGTACTGAGAAGTGATCATAAGTGTGGGAACCATCTGGCAGCCCTCTACTGAACTCATCGTCCACCCCAAGCACCACACGTCGCTGGTGCCGACACCACCACCTCCAGGTGGTGCCACTGAAACCTAGGCACCGGACCGCCAGGTCGTCATAGAAAGGTCCGGACAAATGGTCCAAATAGGCCGTAGCCTCGCACGAGCTCGTCACCGGTCTCACGCTCGTCACCCAGCCCTTGGTCTCTCCAAACCTGTAGGGATTTGAAACCCCAGACCCCTCCAGAGGCTTCGGGTCCGACCCCTGCAGATTCGGGTCCAGGGTCACGTCTGGTCAGAAAGACCATTAGCCCCGGGGATCGAGCCCGTGACGTCATACCTTTGGGGTGGCCACCGGCCACGGGGAGACACTTGGAGACCAAGGTGGGTTTCGCAAGACGCAAAGGGGCCGGCAAAGGGTCTCAAAGTGTTCAGAAAGAAACAAACCAGCATCAAGTCCAAGAGTAGGAAGGTGCGAGCAATGAACATGGCTCAATGGTGTTTTGAAATGAGAAGGTATGAGAAGGAGGTGACGTCCAACTGTTTTGCTTGGAGTTGCTTGGAGCTTCTTTTCACGACTCCAATGTCTGTAGGTCGGTTCGGAGGGGTGGCTGGTCCCCAGGTGCAGAACCAACCACCATTTCTGGGGTTGGAGGCCATCGCTAGTACCGCAAGAGTAGCACTCACACGACTGGGGAGCCCTCTCTCATGGCATCGGTCCACCCGTTCGTTTTCGTCGAATGCAAGGCACGTCGTCCGCTCGTAAGGCATCCTCCACAAGGTGCACCTGGACCACCTGCAGGTCCAAATCCAGCGAAGTAGACATTTCCAGCGACTGGTCCAATCCCAATCGAGTCCCGTCCAGTCAGCGGCGTGATCTTCGTTAACTTCTTAACGAAAACATCGACACCGATCGAGACACCGATTCTTAGTGACCCGATTTGAGGAACTCACCGGTGGAACGAACAAAAGGATCTTGGACTCCGGTGGGCGACATGGATGGCCGAGCGAAGTAGACCAATTCCAATTGGTCCAACTTCTCACATCGGGCTCCTAAAGAATACTACAAGGAAAAAAATAGACTACACATAACTATACACCAGAACCAAAGGGATGATCCTCAACATGCCAGCCATCTCCAGCTGTTCAGGAAAACAGTGCTCAATCTTCTGAGAAATTCTGGCCGCACTGGCTGGGTCATTGGACGCGACATGCGTGGCTGGGACCCTTCTGGTTTCACGTGCACGGGCCGCCCGACGTGAGCAAAGTGTTGCAGCGTTTGGCTTAGGAGCTCCTGGGTGAGCAACGAACGTCCAACTCCTGAGGTTTCGTGGACGACCCATGGGACGAGGTTAAAGGCGGCACCTTTGGGACGGCCTTCCGGATCGTTGGGTGACTGGAATCGCAGAGCGAATCGCTGGCGACGGATCCACCGATCATTCGTCTAAAATGGATCCCTGGACTTTCCCGACCAGGTGGCTTGATCATTGAGGGAATCGAAGCCTTTCCAATGACCATCCTGCGAGGACTCGTCGGGGTGAAGAATCTTCGTCGAGAGGAAGGAACTACGGTGAGAAAGTGCTGCACAGCCAACCCTCAAGTCGAAGGACGCTGATCCTCGAACTCGGTCCCACTCACAGATCCCCAAACAAGTTCCCCATTCACCCATCGGTTCCACTGGTTCTGTCTCAGAAGAGAAGAAACCTCTATCTATGTTTTGCATTGTTTTGCTATATTCCTGGAATATAGTGGGAGGAATCAGTGGAAATCCTTGAATATCTGGGGTGGGTTCTGGATCCTGTTGTGGTCTCCGGCAGCGCTTTCAGGCCACGTTGAAGTGCCAAAACATCAGTATCCGATACACTCCCAGAAAATCAGGCCTCGGTGCTCCTTTTGATCTGTGCGGTGCTCCTTTCTATTGTTATCTCCAAGGCTTACCCACATCGAGCTTCCCATGTCACTCTCCTCAAATCCCGGCGCAGCTGCATCACCGCACTTCTCCTTGACCTCTGCGGAAGGAGCTGAGGACGATTCGGGTGGCTTGGACTCTGAAGGAACAACTTAAAGGATCCGAAGAGGCAAAGCAGAACGAGCTGGTGGCATGAAGTAAGTAGTAACTATAGTCAGTAGTCAGTCTCAAAGCCTGTAAAGGCCACCGAACTTACACCACCGAACTTACATGGATTCTGGCTTCTGAAGGAGGTCCATAATTGTCACCAGGCTGAACTTCCTCTCCTGGAAGGGGGGCTATGAACAGGTGAGGACCCCTGGTTTGAGGAACCCGCGAGTGGCACAAAATGTCTCCTAAGATGACATATATATATATAGAGATGTAAGAATGGTTGAGCTGAAGAAGGAGCCCAGCTCAAAAACTGATCTGCCAGCAACACAGAAGAATATCATCCCTAAGTGAATCCAAGTGAGTATCGTTTAGAAGCCATGAATCCTCCCCGAGGCCCAAAGGCGTTTGCAGGGAGACATACCCGAAACATCTTTGTTCCTAACATGTCACAATCTGCAGCATCAGGTCCTATGCAAAGCGTCCAAGCATCCCACAAAGATCCGCGTGTGGCTACGATATCGCGCAGCCTGCCAGCAGAGCAGGCGTGGTCCCCCAGGACAACATGGAGGCAGAAATCGACAACAAGCTTGGATTGGAAAGGAATCTTGGGAAAAAAGAAGCCGCTGGGTTCCAAAGCCTTGTAAGATCTTGGACGATCTTCACAAACAAACGAACGAACCAAGGGGTGGATCACCTAAAGGAAAATGAACACCCTCCCACCCTCCCCGATGGTGGACCCGAAGGTTTTCGCTGGTGGACCCGATGGTCCAATTTCAACATCTGCACAGCAAATCTCCAGAGAGCATACTCTTCCAGTGTCACATAGAAACTCAAGGGAGTTTGAAAAATGATGTCCATTGCCTCCCTTTACAGTGGGAAAGAAGCAAGTTTGCGTGTGTTTGCAAGTCCAGGATCGCGCTGAAGCATGGCGATGCATCCGTAACGATCGCGGCATCCAGCCACAAGATCGCTGTCGCCACAACAAAGTCACAGCCTCTATCAGCATGTTCATTCTTTGCGTCTCATGCCGTGTGTCAAAACAGAGCGCAGCAATGCGCAGCATGCTGCGCTCCGTTTTGGACAGCCTATGTAATTGTTCACGTCGTGCCACCGGCAAGTGGCAATGTTTGGTAATGGTGGCGCCTGACTGCCAAATGCAGCCTGCTGGAGCTGCAGCACTTGGTTTCTTGACAGTCTTTGGAGTGACATGCTCTTGCAATCCCTTGTATAGGATTGCTTTGATTCGTTTATTGAAAACCTCTATATAAATTGACATGTCCTTGCCATAGAGGGCTCATTCCGCACATCCTTCTGCGTGCCAAACCAAAGGACTTTTCTTGAGCCCTTTGCACTGTGACGCAGATTTCACGATCGCGGCGCCATGCTCTGTGACATGACATCCCGCCCCAAAAGCCGCCCCATGACATCGCTTGCGCGCACGTGACCATGACATGACCAGCGGGTTTCACCGCTGGTTGGGATTCGGATCTGAACTTCAGATCACTGGAGCGGGGTCGCTTAGGACCGCTTGAGGCTGACCTCAAACGGTGGGAATGGATCGATGGAGGGACAAACCTCCACTCTCCGGAGAGATATATAACATTAAGGCAATCATTAAGGGCGGCAAAGGGTGTACCATGTTCTGAAAGGTGCATCCGTTGCTGGAAGACTTATCTTTCACAATCCCTCCGATTGACTTCTCAGCAGCTAGGCTGTCATTGAAAAGCATTGAAACATCCACTGTCTCAACTGGTGCTAGGCCAGTGCCAGGTGCTACCCCAAGATTGGTCCGCTTCCGCGGATCTCTCCCCTCCATCATCCTCCCCTCCTGTGGTGCGAGCACTTCGGCCAACCAGCCCAATTCGTCCTGCGCCCAGAAAGGCGTCCAACGGTCGTCTGGGGGATTTCTCCCAAGAAATCAACAAATCTTCTTGGGCGGTGTCGTTTGTGATGGTTTGTGCTTACGATCTTCAGGAAGCTCTAGTGATTCCCAACACTCAGAGTCTTGCTCAGACATAGTGTGTGTTTAAAAGTCACGGAAATATAAACAGTTCTTCACTTTGGCCCTGCCTTGTCACAACCCAAATATACCCAAAAAAAACCTTTTGGTTCCTTCTTGCCTCGTGAGTCTGACAGACAACCCAATAAGCACCAATTGAGTCTGCCCAGGCGTTCATCCACAGGCCCTTGTAGTCGGGGCAAAGCACATCTAGACTCATGATCACTAGACTTCATGCTAAAAGTGGCGTATGGAGATGACTCAAAGCTGTTTACCTCCCATGGACTCCACCAATCAGCGATGGCGATGCATCCAGACCAACCCTGCCTCCACCAGTGGGTATCCTCCACCTCAGAACGAATGACACCGGCATTCATAACGGCGAGAATCAACGGATCCGCAGCCCCACGAGGCACCGACCAAGGACGCCAGATGAATAAGAAAGGCCATCAGAGCATCCAGAAAATCATACCCCACATGATCAATGGCTGCTTCACAGGGCGCAGAAAAATCGGGTGCTGCCTGAAAAATCTGGTGCCGCACATCGCACATCGCATCAGTCTCAGAAAGTAGTACATCATTTGAAACTCCAGTTCTATCCTGCGATCTTGTTGATCAAAGTTTATCAAAATGATTGCCCATTCCATCTCTCAACCTTCAGCTCTATCACGCTCTATCCATGACTCCAAACCTCCAAGCCTCCCCAATACACCTCATCCCAAACACTCCTCACCACAGCACGTGGTCTCCGGGGCACCCAGCCGGGCGATCGGGCCACGCTGCAGAAGCAAAGCACGAAGTCCACCGTCCTCGGCCAGCGGCGAAAGGGCCAAGCGGATCGGACGGAATCCGGTTCCCACACGCGATGTCCGATGTTCCATCGATGTCCGGAGGGAAAAACAAGGAAAACACGTATGTGTATATATATATATATATCTAGTCACAGGCTTTGCCATTGGCTGTAAAAATGTATATATATATATATCCTGGATTTGGAAGAAAAGCAAACTCCTGCGAAGCACACCAAGACCATCTGCTGCACTGACATTGATTTCATTGACATTTCTATATGCACTCTCAGGTCAAAAGATGACATGACCTTCTGTGGGGAGACCCATCCGCAGCATGAATGATTCCTGCGACTAGCAGCCTGCCTGCCGATCCACCTGTTTTGAGTGTGCTCCAAGCATCGCGGTGTCCAGGACGCTTCCAAAACCCGTCCAGGACCCTCCAAGAAGGGTGGATTCTGTGGGCCTCAAAATCAACCCTCAGATCGATTGCCCTCAAATAGCCCCACCAGCACCAAATGTTCAGAGTCGAAACTCCCGAAACCTCCCCGCAACCTCTCTGGATCAAGAACCACCCAGGATCAAGGGTCCAAACCCACCAACGATCAAGGATCTGTGAACATCAAATCTCACTCGGTACCAATTTCCAGGCGGAGATCGACGATTTCCAGGTTTTAACGAACACGCACGAATCAACCAACCACAGTCTCATGAAAGATTCAACGCCCGGCCCCAACATTTGATCTTGCTTGGAAATCCTCCCTGAAATCATTCCATGCTTATGTGGATGTTTCCATGGCCAGGACTTCGGATGACCCATCAAATCCGGTTCTACCAAACAGGGCTGGTGAATTCCAAATCCATGATTCTTTCAGGGAGGGGGCACCACCTGCGTCATGGATGGCAGGGGAACTTTTACTAGGAAACAAATTATGAAAAATCTAGGATACTCGGGAGATTTCCAATACTATGAATCTAGGATACTCTAGGAACCAAATTATGAATTACCATTTGGTTTCTCTAAAAGTACCAGATGATGAATAGGCCAGCGCTTCTTCAAGGGAAGCTCCCTTGAAGTGTGAGCTATCCTGCGTCCATACTAGTAGCTTAAGTAAGGTACTAGCTACCTCTCCCTTAAGAAAAGAAAAGGCGCCTTTCTTTCTTTCTGTAGGGAGGGGGGGGAGCGGGTTACAAAATATGGTTGTCTTTTTGTCATCTCTTTTCATAAAAAATAAAACAAGACAACCATATTGGTTGGTTGGTTTGTCATCTCTCTCAATATGGTTGTCATCTCTTTTCATATTCCGTATTGGTTGCTTGGTCTCTGATCTCTTAAGCTCGGTCGCCCGGCTGGGTGTGAGGGTCTCCGCTGCGCCGTCGCAGCCTAGGGCGAAGATGAAGCAGGTCCGCGGGTCGCGATGCGCGACCTTCCCCGGTCGGCTCGGTCCGGGTCGTCAGCAGCACCTCGTTGTTGTTTCTTTTAAGGAGTAAAACCTCAACTGTGTTGGGGTGGCCCTGTCAAACATGTTGAACATCTTGTCATGTTTGTTCACTGTTCACCTTGGAAACGATGAAAACCTCGGAACCCATTCTTTTCAGGTGGCCTGTTTAACATGGTTTTACTTGCTTGGGTCTTATCGCATTCGCAGCAACTGGAAGGACCAGTAACCAATCCACTGAACTGTTTCCTACACCAACTCTACCATCATACGAACCACACTATTAGGAGCTGGAATTGACCCTCTCCTGTGATGATTTGGATTGATTCCTTGCCGCCAGCCGCTTGCCGCTCGGCCGCTCGGTGTTTGGTCCAAGTCGCTCACGGACTCTCTGATAACCGTGCTGTAGAGGCCAACTTGGCCTCAGCGCGGGGGCCGGGACCGGTACATCGCCTGTGGCGCTTGGTGCCGTTCTCCTCGATGTGCTAAACATGGCCCTTTCAACGGCTCGTTGCGGCATGGTGCTGCTTCCTAAAACATCCAGCACGTGCGAAGTGCGGCAAACCTCCATAAAAGCCCGGGGATGGGAAAAGGCGACGTGCTCTGAGCGAAAGCTCCAATCGGTAGCCAGTCATGGGAGGTACAAGCACGTCCTATCCCCAGGAAAAGGGTATCCACACTAGCACATCGTGCAGGTGTTGACCCACAAAGATATCTGGTTTCAGAGCGCATATGATCGCATCTTTTGTGAAAATATGTTGTAACATAATGATGTGAATATCATTTGTCCAGCTGTGCAAGTGAAAGACTTCATATCATCATATTCTTCTCCCTCAGCTGTCTTGGTCCGGCTGGACAAGGTGCGTTTCAGCCAGGATGGACGCGCTTGGATCATCTCCTGAACGACGATCCCGTGGAACGGCCGCGGGCTTGGTGGTCAGTGCGGCGAGCGTCGAAACGCGATGGCCCACCTTGTGATGACTTCTTCGGCTGCCAAATTAGAATCATCCATGAGACGAAAATAGATTCTTTCATTCCATTTGCTTCGTCTCCATTCCATTGGAAGCTCAGAATTCCGATGCACGACTTGACAAGCCTGGCGGTGAAGCATGGCGGTGAAAGCAAGCCCTGGAAAGGCAGCACTCAGCGCCTGCCAAAGGCCCCGCCTTCGTGCAAAATCTTGTGCAGGATGTCTTGGTAGATGTCCTGTGCCGAAAAAAAACACAACATGAAACAAACAGGAACATGGGAAATACCTGCAACAGCGAACACTGCGTCAATCCATGCCTTCTATTTTTCTTTTAGGCCAACAACAAGAGGTTGCAAAACCTAGAGGCAGAAGCAGAAGGCTTCTTCAAACATGTTTCACAAACGTGGAAAGAAGAACCCATCTTTCCCCCATCTTCCAGTCATTACCTCCCCCCCACAGACGCGTTTCAATGCTAGCAATCCATGCCTTCATTGGAGTCGCACTTCGTCTCGCTTCGTTGGACCAGCTTCGTTGTCCAACGCAGTTTGCTACTCTTGCCTCCAAGCCGACCTGCTCCTCCCTGTCCACGAAGAGCCGCTCCTGACGTAGCACCGCTAAAGGCGAAGATGAGGGGGGCACCGGAAGAGGCACCTGATGCCTGTTTCTCCAGGCAGAGAGTATGTCTCAGCCTGGCATAGCAAATCCAGCAACGATGTGTTCTCATGCGGTCAGGAATGGAAGCAAACTTGGCTTATTACAATGAACTGTTACTAGAACAATGCCTTTTGGCCTCTACTACATTTGTTTACTTAGACTTGAGAGGTTCCTTGACTGAACTGCCCCCAAAAACCCTCGTTCCGGCCCTGCTAAAGCAAATTGCGTGTCCTCCTGCCGAAGGAGAAGCGTCTGCAAAACTCCAGGCGCACAAGTTGCTGCCAGCTGGTGCCAACCTAATCTGAAGGGACACAGGATCCAACATGCCGCTCTGAAAGACTTGGGAATGTCCCAAGAAAAGGATCCTTCTCATTGAAGGACCAGTTCTCATTCTGGTTGACCAAAAAAGGCATCTGACCATACAATTTCACCAGAGCAAGCATCAAGCTGTGTAAGAAGGGCCTGTGTGTGTAAGCCATATACCTGCGTTTGATCTTCACCACCAAGGGGCGTGCTCATGAAAATGTAGTGTCAGTTCAACGACGTGCCGCTTCCGCGTCCGCTGAAAGTCTGGCCAGAGGCAGCCGCTGCACGAAGAACCTCAGGCTTGGCACTGGTGAAAAGGTACAGGAGACGTATACACGATACTGATAGTTACATAGTTTGGGTTCTGACAGGCCATCCGCAAAATGAGCAAGCCGCCAGAGTACTCTGGTGAACATTCGCAACCAAAAGCACGGCTCACCAGTCGTGTAATGGTCTGTTTGGACCATGGACCTTGAGTGTACAAATCATCCAAATCATCGTTGATGCAGCCACCACTGTGCGCTTCTCGGGGTCCCGACGGTGCCCATGTTGATCAGCAAGTTCACATTGACCTCATGTCACGTGTCCATCCGCCATCACCGTGGCATCAAAGGTTGAAACACCTTCGGACTCATCGGATTCCGGCGCCCGGTGCGCCCCCCGTGGGCGCCGAATGGGGCGCCCGAAGATCGCCCATCGGTGCGCCCCCGCGATATTGATCGAATTGAGTACTGTTGCTACGTAGCACAATGGAGGGTACCTTGAAATCAACATGAAACAACCTAATCATGTTTGCACCTCTCCCATTTCTGCACGAGCCTAAAGAGCATTGACATATCTTTCATCGTGGTACACCACTAATCTACGCGCCATTGGCAAAACCATGGCATCCATGGATCAAAATTCTACGTCTACGTATCTTGAAAAAAAGAATGCCAAATGTTCTTTTCGGTAAGCCGGTAAGCCCCAAGAGCAGCTACTCTTTTCGATCACTCAACCTCTGAGTCTGCCACCACGCCGGAGGTGTAGAATCTGGCGCAGAAGATATATAATCGGCACATCAAGTCACTATTCCCAAGAAGCGAAAACAACCCACCCAAATGGACCAAGAAGCAAAAACAACAACTCTATATATCTGGCAAATCCGTCCACAATTTGGAACACCAACAGGAAGCCGGAAACCCCTGAAAATGAACACGCCAGCTGAGGCCCCTTGAATCAGGCCTGGCCAGAAAACCCACATGTTGCTGACCTCTGGGTACAGAGGCCTGATCCTGGCCACCAACAGGTCCCCAAGGCCCCAAATCCCCGGCCAACTCCGTTTCAATCCAGGCCAGCGGCGCTCCTCCGTGGCCTGCTGCAGCCCGGCGAAGGACTCCTCGCCGCACCCGGCCGCACCGGGGGCGGCGGGAATGGCACCCACCTGGCCGAAACGGGGGGGCGGGGGGCGACCTGAGAGATGACCCAAAGGAGACCCCCAAAAATATCCCTGAAACAATCATATATATCAATCCTTCTCGTTGCCCAAGCATAAGGGGCGTGTAGAATGGTGCAGATATGCCGATATGCCTCATTCTTGTTACCCTCTGAAACAATCATGGTTACGTGGAATACAGCCTGTGAAAATAGAGGAATTCAGTCTTCCTGAATTTCGGGGCCATCTTCCACTTCCACCATGGACCAGTTGGGTGGAGGGTATCCGAATCTTAATGCATGATCAGTCTGGATGTTCTATGACGTTCTATGAATGACCCAGTCGACTGGGACAAGCAGATAGAACAGAAAGCAGATCGTTCACCAGCGAACGGCTAGTAGAAGAGTGCATATCAGCAAACCGTCTTACTTTCATCAAGGATTTTTCTGTGTTGGTGTGCGTTGGTTCTGAACCAAATCATGAAGCTTCTCGCTTCTTCAGGGAAGCTCCCGCTCACCTCAGGCCGGCAGGAGCTTCCTTGAAGAAGCCTAAGCTTTCCTGCGTCCCAGCTACTAGTAGCTTTGTATAGCTTAGTACTGCAAGCTTGCTCCTCCTCACGGCCGTAGCCCCTAAAAGGTAAAATCTCACTTTTGAACTCCAACACCTGCCCCCCCCCCCAAAACAGTGCTCGTTTCGCCTCATCGACTTCCACCTCTGCCTGGGAACCGCATGGGCCGTTTGTTCGGCGCGGTCGGTCCGCGCCGGTCGGTCGGTCCGCGCCAGGCGATCGGTCAGGGCCCCCCGGCCGATCCACAGCGTTTCAACCAAGAGATCTCACCCTGCGGAGAATCCAACGGGTTTGAACAGCAGTTTGGACCGCTCACAGAATCGCATATCATTTTGGACAAAATGGGCATGTGCGACAGGAAACCTGCACCTGCGATGGAGATCCACCTAGAATCTACTTCAATCAGATTAGATCAGGTCCAAAAAAGAACGAAGCTGGTCGAATCTATGCCGAAGCAAGAACAACCGCGCTTCACCCGAAAAGCCTCAATCAAACGCCTTCTAGACTTCATCCTTACAACCCTGCTTCACCCTCATCCCCCATCAACGCCTGTGGAGAGATCTCTGGCCACCCCTGCAACGAAGGCGAATTGCAGGGGATGGTCATTGTGAAACCTATACAATATCCTACAATACTGATACTGTATCAACTGTGCCCAGCAGAAGCGGAAAGAGAACCCCCTCCTCAAACCACTGGGAAGAGCGCCATCCAGACATGAACGAGTGGATATCACTAGCCTCTTCGTTGGACTTCGCACAGGGGTGCATGCAGAGAATGTGCCACAGTGGCGAGGATGCACAGTGTAGTAACACATGGCTGGAGCATCCTGGATGGTTGAGATGTGCAGTACATCAACAACCACAGCACCAAGATGCTACAACTACAGTCGCACACCCTCTCCCTAGTAGCCTCCCTCGTCAGACTGAAACGGTGGAAGTAAGGAAGAAGGTCTGTGAAGAGCACCTGCGTCCGCGACCTGTTTCTCTCAATTGAATCCATTTACTCTGGATTATGGCATTTTCTGGTTTGAGGTCTCATGTTGCTTTTGTGCATGTAATTGTTGCAGTATTGGATAGTATTGGCATGGGCCATGCATCTTGGCGGGAATGCACCAAAATTGGGCCCAACAGAACGTCCAAATACTTTACCCACATCTTGTGGGCACAAGAGTCCCCACCTTCCCGGCATGGTTTTGTTCGTTTTTGGCGCTGTACAGTCGAAGAAAACTCGTCCAAAAAGCGAGGAAACCAAAGAAACGGCTTGGAACCACACCTGCCTCGGCACGCAAGGAATAGAGGAGGACACTGTTTGATCTGGACAGGCGCAGGACCATGTGCCACTCTGGCACCCGAACAAAACATGTCCAGTCATGAGGTTCCATCGGAGGAGGAGTTGTTTTACCTTTGTGGATGATGACAACATGAGCACTGACATTGGTGGTTTGAATCCATCCTGGTCTGTGTTGGAAATAGGGTTGGACATGTCACCTTCCGTTGCCACACTGGTTTGTGCTATGTCTATGTTTTCCTCTTGCTGTGGTGACCTTTTGAAGGTGAAGAGTTGAATTTACAAAACTCTCGTTGGCCTGCTCTCAATGAACTCTCCAAAGGCATGCGGCATTTTCTGGAGACTCACCACATTCAAAGCGTTCCGCGATTCTCTGCAGTACGTTGTATATCATATTAGCTGTAATTACACATGACTTCCGGCCCCGCCGAGTGATTTTTACAGACCAGGGTGCTGGCATCGCAAATTCAGTGCGCCTTGAAGTCGTTCGTGAAAAGGTTCCGTTTTCAGTTTACAGCGTTTCCTGCGCTCATTGAAAAACTGGAGGTGACCCTTGTTGTCCTGCAGCTGCTGGTAAGATCCTGGTATGTTAGAGAAATCCGCCTGCACCGAGGTGCTGAGAGGGGCGTGGTTACGTTGAGGTGCGAACACTGAGCTCCAGAGCGTTGGCTTTGGGTGGCACCGTTTGGGAACAAAAATGCATATCCTGCATCATGAGGTGGGTCTGGAGAGGAGCTGGCGGTGGAAGACAACGTGCCTGCAAGATCGGCGCCGTTCAATCGACCATGCATTTTGCATGTGTTTGATCCTTTTTCTGCGTCCAACGAGGCACAAGGCGCTCAGTCCAAACAAAGGCCACCAGTGATCACCAGTGTATAAAGGTGGACATACCTTTTTGGTAAGGCCGCGCGTCACGCAGCTCGTACATGACCACCATATTCACTATATGGCTCAGACTCGCCCTCCTTCTCTGGCCCCTTAGCCTCTACAGCTGCTGGCGTCGCACCGGTCTGCTTTTATATTGGCTTTGTCGTCACCTGTGTAACGCATCAAGGCACTGCACATCAGACCTGCAACAGCATCCCGGCGCATGCAACTCCCTGCTGCAACGTCAAAGGTCGGTCCCAATCGATCACTGGGTGATTCATCAAAACCTCCGCAAGTGGAGCATCTTCTTTCGCTTTGGAGGTATACGTTCCAGCTCTACAGGAACCCCTGCGGGATGGTGATACATTCCCTTAACAACTGCAATTTCGCTGTTCCCTGGATCCGAGTCCCTTTTTTCGTCCCGGTGTCGCCCAAAAGGGGCTTGCACCAAACCATAAACGGATGGATATGTTAGAGGAATATACAAGAATAACAATGCAATGGCGTATGCACCTCGACAAACCATCGAGATAAGGCTGTTCATTCGCAAACTATCCAGTCCCACCACCCTGTGCAAAGCCTTAAAGCAAGGACATACCTGTCAAACGGTGACCTACGTCAGCCAGGGTGGTCCACTCGTGATGAGCACGTTGAGCAAACCCGCAATAACACCCACACAAAGTGTCTCCGGCGCGAAGCGACTTTCTGTTTTCCAGCCCCGCGTTGTCTAAAGAAAGATGAAACGTTCAACATACTGTCACTATTGTTTTTCACAAGGTTGAGAGAAACCTTGGCTCTGATATGTAGCGCTTCTTCATGAAGAAGGTGTAAACATGCTGTTATGGTATGCTGCTTGGCTCGTACTAGCGTCTGATGAGGTAAGGACTTGTGCTTCTCGTGAGTTGGGAATTGCCTGTGTTAAGTCTTTACACATGTGGTTTGCACTGGCTCACCTATTTTCAATTTTTATCAGGTGCAGAAGACATGGGAAAGGACTTATATAAGCTACTCCATGAGGACTTTGCAAAACAGGAGAAAGGTTGACACTACAAATATGAATTTCACTCCAAGGTCATGCCGGCAGGCGGACATGAGTAATCAACTCTTCCCACCCAAAAGAAAAGAACAGGTCCCTTCTGGCTTGTTCACATTCTCCTCGCGCAAACTCCTCAACTCCTAGTTGCGTAAGATTTCATAAGTTTGCATTGGTGTTCACGTTGTTACCATGCTTGCAGGGGGGCGCAACATGAGCTAGGACTTGATGCTTCAAACAGCCCCAGGCAAGCATACGAAAAGAGATTGTAGAAATCAACATGATGTTCCATAAGTCCTTTGTCACTAGACGGTAGTACATATGACGCTTGCGTGCAAACGACCGCCCTCTGCAAGAGCGAGCCCAGCCAACCCAAAAGCCATACAGTTCACACGCGTAGCTAGGCAGTCCTTCTGCTTCCACTAGCTTTACCCGCAAGCAGATCAAGCGGCGTTCCAGACACTTGTGGGTGTCACTGGAAAAGACGCCGTGTCTTTTCCACAGGACCTTGCGCACTTATCCCAAGCAGGAGAATCTACTCGCCGAGGTCTATGACGCTTGTGCCTGCCGCCACCACCACCACCACACCCAGCACATAGTCCACCAGTTTGCCCAGCTCGCACCAGAGGAACTCAATGGTAGAGTCTGTGCTCGCTAGGATCTCGTCAGCTGCCCTCAGCAGCTCTTCCCGAATCTGCTTCTAGGAAGCACGTGCCTTTTCACCCGTCCTGTAATCACTCTATTTTTCGACCTGCAGATGACAAGCACCACGCAGTAGAAGAATAAAGAAGTGTATGGGAAACAACGTTGCAGACATAGTTGGATTCAAGTTGGACCCCCGAAACAATTACAACAAGGAGTCCAAGGTGGTGATCAGTGATGACAATAAGACAATAAGCTTTCCAATAGACAAGTACCATGCAGTGGACACATGAAAGAAGTAGTATATTGAAAACAAAAGACTTGCAAGTTGTTGTGGGATGCAAGTTGCGGCCCCCGAACAACGTACAACTTCAAAGGGGTCGAGAAAAACATCATGCAATGGATGCATGAAAAAGTATATGGAAAAGTCAAAATGCACGCTTTGCTGGATATAAGTTGCTGGATATAAGTTGGACCCCCTGGAAAATGTACAAGTTCAAGGCAACGGAAATAATGAAAAATAGAGTGACTACAATAAACCATCTAAAGTCGTGCTCATTCGGTTGCGCATCATCTGGGGTGTTGGCTTGGACATGAATTACCTTTCCGTGCGCCCTCTCTCGCTGCAAGCGGTGCGGGCGGTTGTCGTCGCGAAGCGACATAAATTATTCAATCAACCTTTCCTCAGTCTTTTTCACTTTGCTTAAGAGTTGGAAGCGAGATGTCTTTTCTTCCCATCAAGTGTGTGACCTGAGCTTGGAGCCCCATCTACCCAGTCTAATCTCCCATTGGCCTACAAGGCTGCAGGGTGATCCCAGCACAGTCATCTCCTTGGCCAACGCGGCTCACCGGCAATGCTGGAGATTTTGTATTTGCGCCAGTTGAGCGTTGATCAAGGTTGTACAAGTGGGGTAATGATGGGACGGGGAGGCGATCTGAAGAATTGTCGTCTTGCGTCGGCTGTCTGCATGTGACCAATGGCGTGAGATCAACATGAAAAGGAGATTCCTCCGTGTCAGAAGCTATCCCTTTCGTTACTTCGCATGGAAGCAAGAGTTCGCAGACCCTGTGTCTACTCTTCTGCTCCCGTTGGAGGAGGATAGCAAAGGGCAGGTCCTTTCAACGAGAACTCAAGAGCGCTGACCGTTGATCCAGAACTTCCAATGCATCCGAAAAGCCCAGAACTTCACAATGCACCTGCCAGAGCGGGGAACTCACCGGGCCAGCAGTTGTCGGGAGTCTTGTTGCACGTGGTCGAACGAACTCGAAGCAGCCACTCCTACTAATGTAGACTCTTAATCACTAAACCCATATGGGGGGCTATCAATCAAGAGTCTACATTAATTAGTTGTTCATAGTTTTTTCATGTTTCGTGAAACAAAGGCAAGCGTTTCGTTGGGCAGCGGATCACGCCACAGCCACAAGACCACTTAGACCACTTGGAAACCTAAAACGCCACCCACCTGCGCCGAAAACCACGGCCGAATCTCCAAAACTCTGGGCCTTGGCGGTGTTCAGGGAGCCAGCAGCTAAGGGTTTGCCTGCAGCCAAGGGTTTACACATGCTCACACAGTAGAGCTTCGTGTGGGCGAATTCAAAATAGAGCCCTGCATTGCACATCTCACCCTTTCTTTACAAGTGCAAACCCCTTCCTCAGTCAGAATCTGCAAGACTTTTGGGTTTGAAGCCTACAAAAAAACACTTCAACGAAACGAACATGGTTTCCTATGTCTTCGGTCTTTTTGTTCCTTCTTCGGACGTCGTGGTGCCTGTGGCATAGCCAGGCAGAAAGACGGCGCCCTCGACGGGCTGCCTTGCATGTGTGGCTAAGAGAGAAGGTTCTGAGCCGATAGGCTAGGCATTCTCAGGCTTTGATGTGTGGATCAACGAGAGGCCGTGAACATGGAAAAAGCCTGCTCTTCTCCATCGATCAGTGACACTGAAATTCCATCGATCAGCCTCCTAACGATTCAGTATTCAACACAAGAAAAAGGAGGATTGTTGGGCTGGGAGATGGCTGGAGCAAGCAGATGAACAAAATCCACAGGTGAATACCATGGCGCGGCCGCCGTTTGCCTACGGCTGTTTGAGGGTTTGATGAGCTTGCTTAGAGCATCGTAGGGCCGCTCTGGCCGAAGATTCCACATAAAGGCCACTGGATCGGAGTCTTCGGCCATCTGCTGATTGATATCATATAACTAGAGAAAGACACATGTAACTACATTGTAAAAACCTCTGGAGATGGTTTTTGATCAACCCGTGTACATTATGAGAGGTTCATTGTGTCTGTGCATCGACGATTCCTTTTTGAGCTTTCCCCATCTCCTCAGGTTGCGATTTCTTTTCCTACGTAGACTCTAGACTCTAGACGAGATGAGCAATGGCTCCTCTTTGTGTGACGTTGATGGGAAGGAGAAAAATTGGAGATGATCACCTTGGACCTCAGGCTCGAGTGCTTTCACTCAAGTTCACAACTCTGGCTTGGATTTGAGAGATTTGAGATCTGCAACAAAACCATGTGAGATCTGAAGTTCCTTCCAAAAGTCATGTCCCATGTCCCATCCCATGTCCCATCCCCTTTCCCTTTCGCACTCAGAACTCGGCCAACTACACGTCGTCGTCTCCGTCGGCCCCTGGCAGGTGGAACACCCCCGGTCCGGCACCACCACCGGTCCACCCGGACGGAACCACCGGTCGGCGCCGGATGGGAACCGAGGCGAAGGACGTTCGCGGCCGGCGTGGGCACGTGCCGGCCCGTCCGGTCGTCCAAATGAAAGGACTTGAAGGGTGGACCGTGAACAGTTTGCGCAACGATGTGTGGCACCCAATGGCTGGCTTGCATACCCTAAGGATCTGGCTGGCTTGCATAATTCAATGTAACCTGACACAAGCCTGCCAGCAACAAGCCCTTGAGTCTAAATGGAAGGGGTTATTCGTCCGTTGACCACACGTTGCTACCCGTGGTGTTCGTGACCACCTCAACGTCCCTTGTCCTTCCCACCCTCGACGCGGCCGGGCCTCAATGGCCCCTAGAAGCTGAAAGTCCTCACCACTGTCGCAGGCCAACATGTCATCCTTGGGTGCCACCAGGTTTGGATAGCTTTGGGAAGCACCTGAATATAAGAAACCACTTGGCCGAAGGATATTCCACACTCGTTAAGAATACCCCACTCGAAAGAGCTCTCGTTTGTTCAGCC